CATCTATCGAGATTGCTGCAGTTCAGCCAGGCCCCTCAGGCGGGCCCATCTATCGAGATTGCTGCAGTTCAGCCAGGCCCTTCAGGCGGGCCCATTTCAAGAGATTGTTACTGTTCAGCCGGACCCATTCAGGCGGGCCCAATACTGAGTCACTGTTCAGCCAGGCCCATTCAGGTAGGCCCTATATTGAGTTGTCGTTTTAGTCCGGCCTTTCAGGCGGGCACTTACATTGAGTTGCTGACTACTATTCGGCCAGGTCTTGGAGACAGTACCCGTACTAGAGAGGGGTGTGCTTTCTGTCCAAGCTGGCCCGTCGCCGTGAGACTACCCCTAAGTGGGGTAGATTGATTGAGAGGTTCTGCTTCAGACATGTGGGACATCAGAGTTTCACTATCAGGGCCAATGAGTCCTCGACCTCGAGACACACGCTCGTGATCACCTACTCGGTGAAGGGGGCAGAGACGGGGGTGAAGGGCACCACATACGACAGGATTGCTGATTACATATTTCGCAGGGAGAGCTATTGGAGGGACAACTGGCTACATGTGATGTTCCCTCGCGTACCTTCAACACCTGGGGGCGTGCTCTTCGATTTTTGATGGGTGCAACCCCCATATCCCGCAGCAAGGACAAGAGGCGGAAGGATGACCGGATTAGGAGAGAGATAGCCAGATTCGGGGTCCCAATCACTACATGCGTCCAGAGATCAGAGACAGATGAGTCAGACTTGGAGCCCTGCTCTGCGAGTGACATTGATTTGGGCGACTATTTCGACTGGGACACTCACAGAGGCTGAGTTTGTGGACAGTGACGGGAGCGCTGGAGACCGGTGAGCGACGACGACGGAGAGCGACTTTGAGGAGGATTGCGTATCTTCTTGCACGGTATCTTCTAGAGGGTGATTGACTCCTACATGTCAGACAACCCTAGGTCTGAGACAGTTATTGGTCCCCCAAGAGGGAAGGGTCCGGTCCCATATCTCGGAGATGGCTATAGTCATTTGGTCGGGACAGACTTTGCTATGCAGGCTTATCGAAAGCCCCTTTACGGAGACCGTTTCCTCGAGGTATCCTACATCTACTCTGGTGGGAGAGGACGAATTGAGATATTGATTGGAGCTACAAGCAACATTATCCTTGCGGAGGAGCTTTATCTCAGGAGCGTTGCAGACGAGGAGATGGCGAGATGCATGGCCTATATCTGCAAGATTGATCCAGCCGCGCCTCTCGGCATCAGCTACGTGGTTCCAGAGTCAATAGCCACGCGAGTTCTCAATGACGAGGCGCCAGATATGGAGTCCCAGACGGCAGCACTTACTCACAAGGGGGTACCGCTTATTATCATTGATTGAGATTCTCTCTTTTCAGTCACTATGATGTATTATGACATTATTATTTATTAGTGATTGCAGCCCTCCGATGGCTGCTCCCTGCATGCACTGTGTACTACTCTTCAGTCTCGTTTCTCTGGTCATGCTCTTGCAGAGTCTGGTTTCTGGTCTTCTCATTTTGTCAGTGTCAATTGCTCTATGATGTATGTATGTATGCTATTTTCCTCCTTATGATGCACAGGCTACACTCAAGGCAGCTTGAAGGACTCCTGGATGATAGGGACTCCGGTGACCTTGAGTCTAACCTTTATACGAGGTCAGGTGCAGGCGATAAACCCGAACGCCTCACTCTAAGCCGTGTCGCCGCTGGCAGGAGGGATAACCCTGACTACTCGGCTATATGACAAAGTGTGACTGCTTCTGAATAAACTTCTATTTTTATACCTATAAAAATCCTGCGTGACAGCCTGCCTATCGTCCAACCCAGTGAGTTCGGTCCGGGGAAGGATATCCAACCAGACCCTTGAAGCAGTGGGGGCACGACAACGTCTCCCGGTAAAATCGTCATGTTCCGCTGGCGTGCAAAGAGCCAACTTGGAGCAATGAAAGACTGGGTAGACAAGCAAGTGGCCTGGCACCTGAATCGTAAAGGAAGATCCCTCGGGTGCGTCTCCAGCGGGTGCTACGATCGGCCAAGGCCCCATCCATTTCGGGAGGAGCTTGTGAGAGATGTCTTGTTCAAGGCTGAATTCCACTGCGGAAACCCAAACGAGGTCGTCGGCGCGGAATGGGCAAGGAAGACGCTGGCGATTGGCCTGCTGGCTCATGCGCTGCTGCGTCTTGGCCATCTGGTCGCGTGCCTTGACAAGAAGCTCTCGCATCCGACACAAGAAAAGAAGATGGTCGTCGCTCTCGGCTGTCTGTGGAGTAATAGTGTCCAACGGTGAAGTGACCGGCGAGCAGTGCTCGAACTCAAAGGGCGACATCCTGATAGCCGGGTGGATAGAGGAGTTAGGCCAACTCGACATCCGGCAGCTGCTCAACCCAGTCCTTCTGGTCCGGACGGATTAGAGTGCGAAGGAGAACCTGTGCGGTCTGGTGCGCCCTCTCCGTTTGGCCATCGGTCTGAGGGTGGCGAGCTGAACTGGGCTTGAGAGATGAGCCCCATCGCTTGATGAGCGCCAACCAAAAGTCGGACATGAACCGAGTGTCACGGTCGCAGACGATCTCCTTAGGGTAACCCTTGGTTCGAATCCAACCGGCGTAAAGAACCTCGGCTAACTCCGGTGCCTTGGCATGATAGCGGCATGGCAAAAACATGGCAAACTTGGTGAGTTGGTCGACCACCGTGAGAATCTCATCCACTCCGGTCTTGTGCTTGGGGAACGGGCCGGTAATGTCCATGGCAATCGCTTCCCTTCGCCTCAATGGGACGGGTAATGGTTTTAACTCGCCGTACGGACGATGGTTGCGGGATTTGCAGCATCGGCAAACCTCGCATGACTCGCAATGGGGTGTGAAGTCACCGAGAAGGCCGGGCCACCAAAATCGCTCGCGAAGTCAGCCAATTGTGCGATTGACTCCAAAGTGTCCGGTGGCGGTAGCATCGTGGAACTCGCCAAGAAGCCGTGTACGCAAGTGAGGATCACTCGGTACGCAAAGAAGGTCCTTCCCCCGCGTGTGGACAAGCAAGTACCCCTATTGGATCCGGTAGTGAGAAGGCGCCGGATTAGGAGAGGAGAAATTGGCGTACTTGTCGCGAAACTCGGGGTCGGCTTGGTAGCCGCGGATGAAGCTGTTCCGCAGGTCGTCGTCGATCTCAAAAGTCGAGTAGACTGCGGTACAATGGTCCGGACGCCGCGAAAGAGCATCCGCAAAATGGTTTGACTTGCTCGGAATGTGGTCGGGGAAAAAGTCAAACTGGTCGATGAAGGCCATTCAACGGGCAATGGTGCTATTGACCGTGTCTTGGGTCTTGTAGAAGACCAATGGATTGTTATCCGTTACCCATCGGAACTGCCGTTGACCAAGAAGAAAATGCCATCAGCGTTTGAGCGCGTGTACGAAGGCCAATAATTCCTTCTTTTGTGCGTCGCCGATCGAGTACACGGCGGGCACTTTCTTGCTAAAGTACTCAATCGGGTGCCAGTCCACACCATCATGTTGCTCGAGGACGGCCCCAATGCCATAGCCGGACGCATCGGTAGTGACGCGTGTAGGCAAAAGCGGATCGTAGATGCGCAACACCTCCGCGGATAGCAATGTGGCTTGAGAGCCAAAAATGAAGTCCGCACATGGTCGTCGAAGTCGAATGGCCGGTCCTCACATTGAAGCTTGGATAAAAGAGACGCGATCTTCGAGTATCCCTTGATGAAGCGTTGATAGTAGCCGGCCAAGCCAAGGAAGGAATTGACGTTTGTGACGGTCTTCGGCTCCAGCCACTCTTGGATGGCTTGAATCTTGTCCGACAACGGACGGATGCCCTCCGGTGTGACAAAATGGCCCAAGTATTCCAGCTCTTGCCGGACAAATTCGCTCTTGTCGCGGTTGGCTTTGTACTTGGCGCGGCGTCTCCAACACTCGTCGAAGGTGCTCAAGATGGTCCTCCAATGTCCGGCTGTAGACGAGGATATCGTCTAAGTAGACGAGTACAAACCGGTCCAGCATTGCCCGGAACTCGTAAGTCATTGCCGCTTGAAAGGTCGTCGGGGCATTGGTGAGGCCGAACGGCATAACGATCCACTCAAAGTGTCCATACCGCGTCTTGAACGCGGATTTGTAGCAATCTTGCGGGCGTATCGAGATTTGATGGTAGCCCGACTTCAAGTCCAACTTTGAAAAATATTTTGCGCCGCCCAAACGCTCGAGAAGGTCGTCAATTCACGGTAGAGGTCCCGCATTCTTGACGGTTTGTGCGTTGAGCTTGCGGTAGTCGATGCACAAGCGAAGATCCTTGTTCTTCTTCCGTATGAAGAGAACTGGCGCACCATATGGTGAGCTGCTAGGGCGGATCCAGCCCTTGTCCAAAAGATCGTCGAGTTGAGCGCAGAGAACCTCGACCTCTTCCTCGCTCATGCGATAGATGCAACCTTTCGGCGACACGACACCGGCCCCAAGAATGATCTCGTGGGAAATCGACCGATCCGGCACCACAAACTCGAAGATGTCGGTGAACTCGTCGAGCCGCCGCACCACTCGGGGGTCCGAAGACAAGTCCGTCGGTGAAGATTCGATCGCCGCAGCGGCTTGTAGAAAACATAGGCCGATCTCGTCGGTCCGCTCGTAAGCGCAAGTGGCCCGAAAAGACTTGGCCGTTACAACTTGGCACCGGATCGAGGAGTGCGGAAGAGGAATGGTACACGGCACCTCGACGCCGAAGGCGTCGCGAACGGTAAGTGTCCGCTGATGGAAGTTAACCGTGTGATCCGCACTTGCAAGCCAAGGCATGCCCAAAATGATGTCGAAGTCCGTGTCCAAGACGTCAAACGTCACCGGTTCGCATGCATGAGGTGCGAAATAAACCGGCACGGCTTCAATGTAGCAATCGAGGAGTTGTTGCATCCGACCGTCCGCCAACTTGATCGCCGTCGGGTTTGGCTTCCGTCGAACTTGAGCGTCAAGGCCGGCCCTTTGGATAAAGGAATGGCTGATGAAATTGCGAGTCGCGCCGCTATCCAGCAAAGCGCTGCAGGACGCTTGCCCAACTTGGATGCGGACGTAGAGGAGCGGTGCGTTGTTATCATCGTACCACTGCATGCGAAACTCGCGGGCCACCTTGGTAACATACGCAAGGATGTCCCCCACCGCAGCTTCGTCATCCGTCGGCGAAGATGGTGGTGCATAGAAGGCTAAGTATGCGTGGAGATGGGCACATAGTGCTGCGCATTGCGGTCCCGGCAAGCAGCCTGTGGAAGGGAGAGGAAGCCATGCAAAGTCCTCGGACGTCAACGGGTCCAAAACCTCTATGTTGAACTCGTGCGTCGAATCCCTTGAAGAGCCACTTGAAGACGATCTACTGTTGTTGTTGTCGGACGGAGAAGAAGCCGCACACACATCCTTGAGCTTGAGAACCCAGAGAAGGAACGAGCCGGGCAGCATAGTCCTCATAAGAATACAAGAGAGGACTGTCGACTTCTGCATGTGCCTCGGAATGAAGAGAGGTCGCTCACGAAGCAACCGATTCCGAAGGCGTCGAGAGTGCAGTCGCATCACTCTCGGCGGTGCTCACTTCCCTGAAGGGGATTTGGCTTGGACCGGTGTGGGGCACGTTGTGGTATCGTGCACCGCGTTGTTGCACCACAAGCAATATCGGTACTTAGAACGGACGCGGTACACGCCTTCTGTAATGTGTCCAAGGCTCTTGAGCCGCTGGTCCGGCCCCGGGGGCTGAAGTGGTGTGTATCTTCCGTTTGCCGCGTCCTTGCCCTCTGGCGGGGCGGCCACCGTCCCGGGCGGCTGCCAATCTGTCTCCTTCCTCAGAAGAGGCAGCCTCGTTTGAAATGTTGGTCGCTGTAGTTGCTGCGAACATGGCCACTTTCGGTCGATGCTGTCCTCTGCCCTGGCCTGCAGCAGACGAATGGCCCAAATTCTTGGCCTCTATGTTCGTCAGGATGATCTGTGAGGCTTTGTCAAAAAGCTGCTCACTTGTGGTGAGCATCTCCGTAACTTGCGTCAGGGCGTTCTGCAACGCCGGGCAGCTCCTCCTGATGAAGAAGTGCTTGATAGCGACGAATGTCGACGGCAAGTTAGGCGTGGACGCCAAGCGTTGGTACTCGGTGATCCAGTCCGTGCTTGGCAGGTCGTTCTGATAGAACCGTTGAAGTTTCTCGGCTGCCTAAAGCTCGGGCGGCTCCACTTGGAACCGCTTATGCCATGCTGCCTTGAGATCAGCCCAACTGATCTTCGTATGCAGCTCGGAGACTGCGACGTTGTGCGTGGACAACATGTTGTCCAGCCATGCCAGGCACGCACCTCCCGCGTGGGAGTATAAGTATTGAGTGCCGGTTCGGATTGATGACGTGGTGAATGTCCAACTTCAGCTCAAACTGACGCCACCATGGGATCGGGTCCGTCTTCGTTGCATCACAGAAGATCGAGAGGCCGTCAAACTTCGGAATGCTCTCGCGATTGGTCGCAGTTGGACTGGCTGCAGCAACGCAAATCTGCTGGTCAATCTGCTGACTTGTCGTTAAAGCGCCGTCCTTGAGAGTCTCGACGTCGATCTCCAAGACGTTGATGCGATCCGCCAAGTTGGAGGGTCCGGCGGGGGTGGCTGTTGCAAGTTGTTGTTCCAGCCGGCGTACCCGGTCAAGCAGTTCGTCAATAACACGAATCTGCTTCCGGACCACGGTGTCCATGCAGAGGATGTCCTCTTGCTGTGCTGCACAAGTGGCGACCAAGTCGCTCACATGTTCGATTGTGGTTGCAAGGCCACGCACAGCAGAGGGGGCACCCTCCTCTTCAGCAGCCACTGCCCATTCGTCGGCGATCACCTCGATATACCCCTCGCATTCGAGGAGTTTGTCTCGGCGTAGTCGACGATGTTCATCTGCAGCCGTCGCTGCTGCCTCAGCGTCCGCCTGTCGCTGCTGTTCAGCGAGGCGACACTGTTCCTCTGCTTCATCGTCTTCCTTCTTACGTGCGGACGTTGTCGCAGCTGCCCGTTGCTTGTACTCGGCTACCATGTCCAGCATGCGGGCCTCATAGGCCTCGGTAGTCTCGCCTGGCTGCTGCTCCATGCCGCTTGTCTTTGAGCGGGTGAGCACCATGCACTAACGTGTCCTGCCGCTGTGGCCTGCTGACGTGGCAACTTACCAATGCCGTGTACTGCTGACGTGGTCTGCTGACGTGGCAACGCACCAATGCCGCCGCAGGGAATACCCGGAGGAAGATAGCGAAGACCAGATAGGGCAACAGCATAGGTGGGAAGGGGGAACGAATCGCCCAGATAAGGAGCCACTAATCAAAAAAGAAAAGTTTGAACTTTGCAAAAAAAAATTCAAAAAAAAAACAAATCCCGAGTTTTGCAAGTTCAGTAGGTCTCCCAACCTCCCTTGAAGTACAAAATGATCATTGATAGAAAACAATTTCGACTTCAGACTGCAAATGATTTATAGACTGACTAACAGTGAAACAGTTTTCACCTTTGGCAGTAGCCGATGCAGATCCCAGGGGTCGATCCCTTGACCTCAGCTTACCTGTGTACAATATCTGCATAGTTCCCTGGAGTTGAACCCGTGACTTGCACGATAGCCAGTGGTAAGTAGGTCGCCGTAGGTTGTAGGCTGTAGGGAGATTCGAACTGTAGACCTGTAAGGTAGGAGTCCAAGTAGAGTCCAGAGGCCTAGCTTTAGTCCTTCTAGAAGGTCGGCAAGTGGTCAAGTGGTGAGTCTAAGGTAGGCCCACGTTTTCAGACGAAGACAAGTGGCAAGGTCAACAGGTAGGACCTCAGTGCAACTGCACTGAGTCGACG